GAGTTAAACGTCTCAAGATTAGGGAGGAAGCCCCAAAATCATGCATAGCTGAACAGGACACACACACACACAACCCGCAAACAGACACACATATATACATGCATTCAAAACAAACATTCACCGTGTGACCAGAGTCATAGACACCCTCACATGTGCACTCAAGCAGACTGTTTCTGTCCCTCATAGTCTCTCTCTTGCTCTCCGTCTCTCTCTCTCTCTCTCTCTATCAATCTCAGTCTCCGTCTCTGTCTCTGAATCTCTCTCAGTCTCTCTCTCTCTTTCTCTGAATCTCTCTCAGTGTCTCACTCAAATTCCGGAGTCAGCAAACTTGGTAATATATTCTCTCTCACTCTCTTCTCTAACAGAGTCTCCCACCCTGTCTCTCTCAGTCACTCTCTCTTGTCTTGCAATCGCGCTCTTTCAATCTCTCTCTTTCGCAGTCTCTCTCTCGCTCTCTCTCTCTCATTCTTTCTTTCTCCCAATCTGTCTCTCATTCAGTCATTCTCTCTATCTCAGTCTCTATCAGCCTTTCTCTCAGTCTATCACTCAATCTGTGTCCCTCACTTTCTCTCTCAGGCTCTCTCTCAGTCTCGTTCTCTCTCTCTCTCTTCTCGCTCTCTACCTCTCCCACAAATCACAAAGTAAGTATACTTTAAAGTATAGTTCCACTCCGAGCCTCTCGGAGTCTCTCTTTCTATCAGTATAACTCTCTGTCTCTCTCGCAGTCTCTCTTTCTAACTGTCTGCCTGTCTGTCTCTCACGTAGTCAGTCACTCTCTCTCCTTGTCCCTCTCTGTCTCATTTTCTCTCTCTCACACTCTCTCTCTCTCTCTCCGCATCTCCCACAAAGCAGTCAATACACTTCATAATTTATTTTCCCTGACAGTCTCTCTCTCTCTCTATTTCTCTTTCTGCTTCTGACTCTCTCCCTCTCTATATGTTTCCGTATCTGTCAGACTCTTTCAGTCTCTCTATCTCTCTTAAAAAAACAGTCACTACACTATATAGTATATTTTCTCTGAGTGTTTCTCAGTCTCTGTCTCCTTCACATTCTCTCTACATACCTCAGTCTCTCTCTCTCTCTCACTGTCTCTCTCTCTGTCTCCCACGAAACACAAATTCAGAAAGTCAACATATAATATTTTCTCTATCAAAGCGTCTCTTTCTTTCCCTCTCTTTCAAACTCTCTTTCTTTCAGTCTCTCTCTCTGTCTCTCTCTCTCTCACTCACACACACACACAGCAAGACTCTGCCTCGCTATGTCTTTCTCTCAGGCTCTCTGAGGCTCTCGCTCAGTCTCTCTTTCTGTGTCTATCACTTTCTCTCTCATTCTCTCTCAGAACCTCTTTCTCTATCTCTCCCGCAGTTTCTCTCCCGAAGTTTCTCCCTTTCTCTCTCTCGCTATCTCTCTCTCGCTCTCAGGCTCTCTCAGTTACTCCAACAAAACACACAGTCAATACACATTAAAATATTTTCTCTCAGTTCCTCTCTCATTCTTATTTTCAGTCGCTCTCTCTCTCTCTCTTTCGCTCTGTCTCGTAGTCACTCTCTATTTTATAGTCGCTCCCATTCTCTCTCTCAGTCGCTCAATGTCTCTCTCTCTCTGTATCTTGCACTGTCTTTCTCTCTATATATATATCTCATCCTCCACAAAGCACACAGTCACTACACTTCATAAGAAATGTTCGTTCATAATCTCTCCCAGGCACTCTCTCTCAGTCATGCTTTCTCGCTCATTCTCTGTCTGTCAGTTGCTCTATCTCACCCATGAAACACAGTCACTACACTTAGTAATATATTTTCAGTCTTTCTCACAGTCTCTTGCTCTGCCTCTCCCACAAGACACAGTCACTATTGGTTATAATGTATTTTTCTCTCAGTCTCTCTCTGTGTCGTCATCTGTCCCTCTTTCTCTCTCAGTCTCTATCTCTTTGTCTCTCCCACAAAATACAGTCATTATATATTATATTTCTTCTACTCTATTCTCTCTGACTCTTTCTGTCTTTCTCTGAGTCTGTCGCTCTCTCAGTCTCCCTTTTAGTTTCTTTCTTTCAGTCTCTCTCGAATTCTGTTTCTCTCCCTCTGTCTCGCTCTAACGTAGTCACGCTCTCTAAATCCTGTAGAGTCCTGTAGATCAATGGTTAGAGCACTCGCTTTGCAAGCGAGAGACCTTAGGCAAGTTTCCTTACTCCACACACAGCCTAACAATAATCCCTCCAAAACCAAAAACAATAATAAATTGGTCATTTTCAATCTACTACTGTTTGTGGGACATTGCTGTGCGCAATTGGCTGCCGAGTAATTGGCTGCCGCAGTCTATTCACTTTACAGTATATTGTGTGAAGTGCTTTGGGACGTCCAGAAGACATGAAAAGCGCTATATCAAATGCAAGGATTATTATTATTATTATTAATTTCGCTCTCGACGTTTCACTCACTATCAGTCTCTGTCTTCATCTCTCGCTCTATGTTTCTCTCGTTCAGTCTCTCTTCTCTCTGTTTCTCTTTTTGCCTCTTTATATCTGTGTCCGTCTGTCTCACTCAGTCCCCCTCTATCTCTCAATCATACTCATAATCTCTCACGAAATAGTTATTTGAAGGGATTATTAACCCTGGAAACGCTGTCTGCAAATCGTCTAACAACCGGATTGTGACTGACTGTGTGGCAAACAGACACGATTGGAGTAAGGAAACATCCGAAAGGATTTGCTCTGCCAGGAATCACCCTCAGGCCCTCTCGCTAGCGAGGCGACGGCACTAACCACTGAGCTACAGGGCTCAGACTGCAGTGTGTGAGCAGACACAGGCTAACTCAGGGCTAAAGTTGGGTAGACTTTATTCTGGGTGAGGTTTTTCCAGAGGTTTTGACTGTAAAGATACCAACGGCAAAGTAGACCAGGACATGATTGTTCGACAATTTTTTCCATTCGTGAGCTAAAGCCAGTTGCAAATATAGATGGAATCATTGACCTGAGTGCATTAAATGTCTCAGGAATAGGGAGGATGCTCCAGCATCATGGGGTTCGGGGTGGGGGGGGAGGGGGGGGAATTATTCCCTTCCACAATCATTTCCATCGTTCCAACTTCACCACCCCCACTCCCTTCCTCTTTCCTTTCCTCCCTCACTCCGCTCCCTCCCATCTTCCTTTCCCACACACCTCCCTCTTTCTCCCTACTTTCTCTCACACACTACTTCCTTCCTCTACATCCTTACTCTCAACCTCTCCATCTTCTCCCTCCCTCCTTCCTCTCCTTCCTTCCACTTCCTCCCACTCGCTTCCTTCCCTTCTTTCTCTCCCTCCGCCTCCCTCCCTCTTCCGCTCCCTCCCACTCCTCCCTTATTATTTTCCCTCCTTTTTCTCCCACACCGTCTTGGCTTTCCCAGTTTCCTCTCTCTCCTTCCTTCTCTCCATCCTCAGTACAGCAGAGCATGTCGTGTGTGAGAGCATTGCCACCATCTCCCTGTCAACTACTCGGGCACATGTCCTGTCCCATTGAGCCATGGGGGCACCAGTTGGTGCGGAAATTAAGCAGCAGCTGCTGATCTCTCTATAAACCAGTCAAGGTGGATTCCAAGCCCTGGATATATGAACATGTTGTCACTAACTCAGTTCCAGGTAAAGCCTTCCAGCAGCTGTCACCACAATATAGAGATACACACTGGTCTGAATTATACCATCTGCAGGGTTGAGCTCTGAGGATTGGAGCAGTTAAACACACACTGACACTCCGACCCACGTGAAGGACTCGAAATTAATATAAGTTGTTGTTCATTTTTAGAGAGAATGTAAACTCTGAACTCAATTATATCAATTGCACGACTAAGCTGTGAGTATTTAAACAGATAATCTACACCAACAACAACTCACTGTAACTGTAGAGCTGAGCTGTGAGGCAGCAAATGTAGCAGTGCAGTTAGATGTAGGCTGGAGAATCTTGTTATAACATAAGTCATAATTAAATGTTGTTTCATCGGCTGTAAATGGAGTGGTGTCTGTGAGGGGCTGCGACCAGATTTTGTGTTGTATGCAGTGTGAGGACAGACTGTGGGGAGCAGAGTGGACAAGGATTGAATGATTGGGACAGGAGGAGACACAGAGATGATTCACGGCACAGCTGATGGCTCTCAACATTCTCAGCGAGGTCTCGGCCTGTGCTCACGAGTCAGGGCTTTAATATTGAGGATCATTTATAGCCAGACTGTGTTGGGAATTATCCCCCAGTGAGACAGACTGTCTGTATATCAGCATATATCCCGAACACTCATACACCTCGCTCACTGGCTGATATTCTCCATGTTTCTCACTGAAACCATCAATAAGGACAAACCTGAGCTGTCGGCACTTGTGCAGTGCGGGCACCAGACGCTGGATCCCTTCAGCTCCGATGTTACAGTTGGAGAGTTCGAAGGTTTGTATGGTGTCACAGAGCTGTAACACATGAGACAGCACAGCACAGTCCAGAGGGTTCAATGTGAACGCACTAAAGTCCAGTGTCTCCACAGCTCCGAGTGTGACCTGGGCCAGAGTGTTGTTCTGAGACTCAAATAGATAGTACATCATGTTCAGCAGCTTCCTTTTACCTCCTCTCTCCGACTGTTTAATCGCTGCCTCAACATTCACCTTCAGCCAGGAGATGGCTTCACAGACTGACGCGTTAGGTAACTGTCCCAGGATATCCTCCAGCTGCCGGGATGTGTGTGGCCAGGAGAGACCCACAACAAACCGCAGGAAGATCTCAAAGCGCCCGTCGTTCTTCTTCTGAATCTGGTCCAGCAGCTCCACAAGGTTCCTGCGGACTGGAGTCAGGTACTGAGCGAGAGCAGCCACAAACTCCTGGACGGTGAGGTGAGGGAATGTGTACACAACTCGTCCCACACCAATATCCTTCTCCAGAATCTCCATCATAAACCCTGAGATGAAGGTTGAGGGTTGAAGCTGATGGTGAGACAAATGGTCATCATCGAACACAATGGTCCTGTTACAGACCCCCTCATAGGCCATCTCCCCGGCTCTCAGCATCACCTCCCGAGGGCTCTCACTCTCTCGGGGATGGTTCTTCAGGATGTTGTAAATGTAACTGGAGTACAGCTGTGTGATGGTTTTGGGGGGAGGCTGTTTGTGCTCTGGATGTTTGAAGATTGGCTCCAATGTGCAGCAGAGGATCCAGCAGTAGGAAGGGTTGAAGCACATGGTGTAGAGGATGTCATTTTCCTTCACATATCTCAGCACTTCAGCTGCAATCTTCTCATCTGGAAAGAAGCGTCTGATGTAATCTTCCCTTCCCTCAGCGAAGAATCCCAGTATTTCAGCCCAGAGTTTGGTGTGGATGTGATCTAAAGACTCCAGAGCAGTTGGGCGGCTTGTGATCAGCACTGAACAGCCTATCAGTACTTGCTGATGTACCAGAGAGCGCACAATGTCAGCCACGGGACAGAGGCCTTCCGGCCCCGGGCAGCTGACCCGAGGGTCTGGGTTTCTGTCACTGTCTGTGAACTCAATCCTGTCCTTGAACTCGTCCAAACCATCAAACACAAACAGCAAATGTTCCGGCTTCTCCCAGATCTTGTCCAGAACATCCTGAAGATAAGGATATGATTCCAGGACCATGGTTTTCAGGCTGGTTTCCCCTTTTATCACGTTCAGGTCACGGAATTTGAAATGAAAGACAAAGTGGATCTGGGATAGATCTTCCCTGTGGCCCAGCGATACAGAATGTTCTGCACCATCGTGGTTTTCCCAATCCCTGCGATTCCACTCAGGACGGTTGTTCCGAATGTAGTTCCGAACAGCTCATCCGGTTGTATTTTCTTCATCTCCTTCCTGACATTCTTCTCTTGCCACTCCTCATGTTCTCTGCCTCTCGCCACCAGTTCATGCTCCACCAGCCTCCGCTCACGGGGAGATGAAGTGACTATTAATTCTGTGTAGCGGTCAGACAGCAGAAATGTCTTGGTCTTCTCCCGTCCTCGCAGGGTGTTTACTGACAGCTTCTCATTCTGGGAGCGGAGCGTTTCTTTGTGCTGTTTCTGAACGTCTTAAAATTGAACATCAGATCCGTTCAGTATTGCCGCACATTTATTACAATAACCCAGTAAAACAAGTGCATATATTTCAATTGATACATGCATTCACACTCATACATACACGCAAACATACATGCTCACAAACATACACACACAAAGTAATAGTAATCCTTACATTTGATATATTTCCTTACCACTTCTTCGAGACATCGCAAAGCGATTCACAGGATATACTGCAAAATATAGTGACTGTACATTTTGTGGGCAAAAGGCTTCAGCGATTTGTGACAGCATTGTCCCACAAACAGCCGTTGATTGATTGACCAAATTAATGTTTGATTTTGAAGGGATTATTATCCCTGGAATGCAATCCTGAATCGACTGACAAGTGAGTTCACTTACTATTGTGTAAAAAGAGACGTGTGGAGAAGGGAAACTTGCCTAAGGTTTCACCCTGACCATGAATTGAACCCCAGGTTATCCCGCTTGCACAAGAGAATGTACAATACTGAAACATATTATTCACTCCAACCAGTCCTTCAGTGTGTTCATATTGTACACAAGCCGCCACCGTCCATATACCCCATCAACAGTCACCTCTGGACCCCTCTGCGCTCTTCTTTGTTATTTACACATACAATATTTACTTTGTTAATTTGTGAAATAGTTCACATAATTAAAATAAATTAAATACAGTGGCCTTCATTTCACAGTTTACTGTGCATCCCAATAGTCTGAATTGTTTCCCATCCTCCCCCGGATCAACGTACTCCAGGTCCCCTGTGGTGGATTTCCATGGTCTGACTTTCAAATACTTTTATGTTCTTTGGTCTCCTGAACTCTCCCACATTCACCAGCTCTTTTCTGCTGCCCATACCCAAGTTCCCAACCACTGGTTTTTGCTTAATTTCTAAATTGTCTTGTTAAACAAGTCGACGAGTCCTGTCGCTCATTGGTTAGAGCACTCACATGGCAAGCGAGCGACGTGGGTTCAATTCCAGACAGGTCAGGGCAAAATCTTGGAGTTTCCTTACTCCACACGCCCTATAATAATCCCTCCAAAACAAAATAATAACAAATTGTTCATTTTCAATCCACGACTGTTTGTGGGACACTGCTGTGCGCAATTGGCTGCCGCATTTCGCCCACAAATATACAGTCATTTAACTTTACAGCATATTCTGTAAAGTGCTTTAAGATGTCGAGAAGACGGGAACAACGCTATATCAGATGCAAGGATGATAAACACTTGGTGAGTTTCATGCTTGGAGAAACGGATTTTATTAAAAGCAAAATGTTTTCATATTTAATATCAGTTTAATGTCTCTGAACGACTTTGTCGTCCAGATCCACTTACCTCTAAGCTCTTCTGGCACCTTCTCTTCACACCAGCCCCGAAATACCTCAGTGGGAAGTCTGTCACCTGAAAATGTTTAATATCAGTTAGTTGTGAAACGAGCCTGACACAATAGTAAACCTTTATTTTGGTGTTTATTAATATCATTATGGAATACTTTCCACTTTCATGTGTAGGGGGTTGTCACCTAATTCTATCCCTTTAGCCTATACACTGGATGCAGTACCGTGTTTTGACCAATTGCCGTCAGATATCAAGTTCAGATTGAGCTGTAACTTTCTCCATTTGAATGTCGACAAGACACCGCTCTCCTGCCTTGGCTCCCATCAGCTCCTGCTGAGTTTACCCGCTGAAAGCGAGCTGGACATTCTGGAGACAGTGACGACGCTCTCGGTGTGGATTGATCTGCTTACTCTCCAATCCGCTGCCTCCGCTCGACTGGTTTTGGCCTCCTATTTGTCCCCCATGTCCTCAGTTCCACCATACGTGGCTGTGCTTTCAGCTACTACGCCCCGAAGCTCTGGAGTTTTCTTCCACTATCCCCTCGCCCCTCCTTCCTTATCCTCAGCTCACTCCTGAAGACCATCTTCTTCGACCGCGCCTATGGTGACATTAATTCCGGCTCAATGTCATGCTCTGCCATTGCTAAGTGCTCTGGGATGTTACACTGCATGAGGGGGTGCTATATAAATATAAGTTGTTGTTGTTCCTCGCTTCGTTTTGTCTCACTTCAGCAATATTGCCTATCTCTACCATGATGCACCGGTCCAGATACATTTCTTCCAATTTCCGGCCCAATTACAGCAATACTTTGCTCCCTGGTCTCCTCGTCTCTTCACCTGCACAAGCTCCGGATATTCCCTAAATCTGCTACCCCTGCTCTCTACCACAGCCGACTCTGGGCCTGTATCCCCCACGCCTGCATGAGTCCACTTACTACCCTTCCACAAGTGGATTTCCAGTTTATCCATATTTTCAAGCTTCCTATCCCTCCACGTCTTTCACATCTCTCCACGTTCCCCATCCCCAATTGTTCAAGTCCTACATGAAAGGCTTCCTCTTCGACCGTCCTCATGGCCACCCCACACAAACCTACACCCACCTCCCCCCCCCCCTCCGCACACCGAACTCGGAGTCAAGCTGCGTGGAGTCGCTCTTCTGCGTGGAGTGTGATATATAAGAGCAGGTGGTTGTTGTTAACAGTACTATCCCAGGCTCCCTCCCAACTGTGCGATCTGCTTTGAGATGACCTTCAATTTGAAGTTGCTGAATGTAGATAAATTGTTTTGGTGTGTCACAGGGTTAGCTGACCTGGGAGCAATGAAAACAATGGTGGTGGAAGTATGATTACTTCCTTTTGAGCCGAGAGCTCAGCCGATTGTTCTGGGGTTCTGTTTGACAATAAATTGAAGCTCTCCCAAAAATGCTCAGTGAAAGTGAGTAAAGCAAATCAGATATTGGTATCAACAGATCAATAACAGCCAAAATAGTGGGGCAATCCTATAACTGTATGAATCTCTGTGAGATTGTAATTAGACACTGTGAACATTTCCGGTCACCACAAGGATGTTGGAGAAAGGGAGAAGATACAGAGCAGGGCAAGCAGAATGATTGCGGGAATGGAGGGACTTGACTATGAGGAGAGACCAATTAAATTGTACAAGTTCACGCTGGAAGAGAAATTTGACAGGCGACCTATTTGCTGTCTTTAAGATTGTAAAGGGGATAGAGAATACGGATCATGACAGGCTGCTTCAACTTGTCCAGAATATTAGAACCAGAGGATACGACCTGAGATTGAAGGGGGTAAATGCAGAAGGAATCTCCGCATAACTATTTCAGTAGGCGAATGGTGAACCTGTGGAGATGGTTGAAGCAGGTAATGTTGATTCTTTGAAACACAGATGAGATTGTTTTCTTTTAGGAACTAACATTATGTGATAGAGTACGGAGTGAGTTTTGGGACAAATGTGCATTTTACCACCAGGAAGTTGGAAGCCGAACTAGATGGACCTTTGTCTATTTATCTATCATTTCTTATGTTCTTATCAACATCTTATGTTGTTATCCAGGCAATCGATGGTTGTTTCCTTGACAGATACCTCTCGCCGGCTTACCACTAGCTACTCACAAACACTGGTCATGGTGTCAGTGTCGGGTTCCTTGTCTGACTCACTCCTTTACTTTGTTGCCACTTTCATGCCTCCGATATTTGTTATTCATCAGATCTTAAACCAGACACTTCCTCAGCTCGGATGACCTGACACTAGTTATTCCCTGGTGATTAAACGCCCATTTCCCCACAAAACCATTGATATAAATATGAGAGTGTTGCATTTCCTTCAGCGAGCATCCAATCGTGACAAAATCTGACAAACAACACCCATTCTCAACCCCCACTCCATCCAATTCATAAAAAAATTACGCCATTTATAGTTTCCTACCCTTTTCCTGGATCTCTCTCAGGATTGTCTTCAGCTGTGGTTTATTGTCCTCTATTTTCACAAAAGCTGCCCACATCCCTCTCTGCACTCGGCTTCTCGCTCCAGTCACTAAATCCAGAAGATATCTCGATGCTTCCTGTCTCTGATTCCTGTCTACCAAGTCTCTGATGTGCTGTAGGAACAGAAACAAAGGTGTGACATTGCACACACACTGCTATGAGATGAACGGCTTTATTCAATATTTTGGTTTTGGAGTCATAACTCTCTCATCTGCCCAACTTGTCAATCTTCTGTTGTAAATCAGCCGGGCTTATTTAGTAAGATTTTTGTCTCTGAGTCTGAAACTTATGGTTTCAAGAATCACGTTTAGACCCTGAACTCACAGTCTCGGTTGCCTCTCCAGTGCAAACCTTGGGATGTGCTGCAATTGCTGGAAGTTACATTCCTCCAGAATATGCGGTCCAGCAAGGCTCGATTCAGCTGGTTAAGAGAATGTGAAATATTTTGGGGGCGATTACCGAGTGTCTGACACCTGTGGAAATCCATCACGTTTGCTCAAGAGCATCCAGACCAAGCTGAGAATTCCATGCTTCACACATACACATGGAAACCCCAGAGATAGGTTTTTGGAATGGAATAGCCTCTCTTTACCTGGAGGGAGGCATCCTGCTTACACAAATCCTGAAAGTATTAGACGCAGGTTGGCAAGAGCCAAGACGTCGAGGGGGAGTCCAGAGTGAGCCCAGTTAGCGTAACTGCTGGAATCTAACGAACTAAAATCATTGATAAGCATTGTCTGATAAACTATCTCGCTACTTTTCCAGGTAGGATCAAACTACTCGTTCGTTATGGGTTTGGCTACAGGGATAGCAGGAGCTGCGAGGGAGGATTCCTTCGTCCAGTCACTGGTCGGCCCATCCAGGTCCTGCTGCTGTCATCAGCAGTGAGAGCCGTGGAATACTGTGGACTCAGAAACTGGTAACAGAGGCTTGGCTTGATTCATTGGGGCAACGTCAGCTCCAAGGATACCCCACTTACGTACTATTCCAAACCCCCCCTCCCACCAGAAGCTGAATAATCACTGGCTTGTCTTTCGACAGTCGCAGGTTGTAGCCTCACGTTTTGGATGGTGGATACCAGGATCTCCGTGAGAGCTTTCCGCTGGGCAACTTATCTCAGCATGAAATGCGTTAGAGAAATACTACCACCTTACTGTTGAAGCTCGTGCACAGATCTCTTCCCTTTGAGGTCACACCTGCCAGGACCTGTCGCCTCAAGGCTCATAGTGTCCTTATAATTTGTGCTATCTGACTGTCATCTGCATTAATCTGCCAAGGCCCCTCACAATAGGACATGTATTATGCAGCTGGGGTTGCGATACCCTGTTACACAACATTGGCTTTGTATCTTGAGATCATCAAGGTAGCTGTCACTGTCCTGCAAATATCCTACCACATAAAATGTCCCACGGTACTATGCAACAAGTACAGTGAGTTTCCCCTGGTGTCTAAGCTAACAGTTCCTCAAATAAAATTGTTTATTCACTCTATGGTTGTTGCAGGGCATTCCCATACACAAATTGGCTTCTGTGTTTGTGGAAAAAACAGAGTCACTACACCTTATAGTATTTTGTGGATGGCAATGTGCATTACCGAAGGTAACTATTACTATTGTATATGTAAAGTTATATTTCTTATGCTTAATGTTTTTAAAGCTTTTTAATTAATCATCATATTGTTCTAGAATGTCACCTACTCATAATCCTTTAATAAGCTGGGTTTGATTTGAGGACTATCATAGCAAAGGTTAAAAGAAACATTGCCAGTTGAGGTCAGTTTCTGCTTACATTCCTTATTTTCCTGGGAAGATGTTCACTCCGTAGAGATAATGAGCAATCGGGTCCTTAAACATAGATCTCCGAAAGCACAGGCTTTAACCTCAGATACCTGCCTATATCAAGGCTGAGAAACAAGCAGGCTAGAGAAGGCTGGAAAATAAAATTCGCCCATCTGTCTTTCTCCCTATCATTTATTTTTCCAAGGGAAAAGAGCCTACAGAGGGTTGCTTTCAGCTTGCCAAGATTGATGGCCATCTCTTTTGCAAGGGGCGGTGGAGTGAGAAACTATTAAAACAAAGATGCAACTATGAAATGGTTGGAGTCGACTTGGGAGTTGACGCTTCTTCCCAGTTGGCGGGGTAATACGGATTTCACTTTATCTATTTTCTCAGTTGGAGTTTATGTGACTTTCTTAATAAACTTTGGATTATTACACAATCATATCAGCCGTCTCCATCTGAATCTCTTACATATTAGCGCTGTTTCATTTCTACATGGATAGCTTAGCTATACAAATAATAATTCTTCCATTTGATATTACAGTTCATTACATCATAGGAACATTGCAATACACTTCACATAAATCATTATAAAATGTATATATTATATGAGCTAATTGCGGATATTGTCAGCAAATGCAGCTAAATGTAAAATTAGAAATTGTTGTTTGTGAAACATTCTAGCTCCTTGTCTTGTGAAATGCTTAGTGGGGACACTTGAATGCGGGTTTGGAATCAATTTCCGTATCAATGTAATAGGTGAGTGCGGGCTTTGTACTGTGAGCTTTCACCAAGAACACAAGTTAATTTTAATGTTGTTCAACCTACAGCGAAATCTCTGCCTTTCAGCAGTTTCTCCAGCATCGACGTCAGGTTCTCTACCAGATCATCCATAACCTCCTCCAGTCTCTGCCTGTAGAGCGAGGTCACCATGTGCAGCTCAGTATCGCTGTAACTTTTCAGAATTCGGTTGACTAAAGTATTGTCGACATCTGCCAATATATAAGGTATACGTGAAGGACAGTGAGAGCATTGTAGATCATTACTGCATTGGATGAGGGAGACGTCTATGGGGAAGGATGCCTGAATGCAATCCAAAGTACCATAGAACAGAAGGCAAAATAAGTGTGGTAGGAGCAGAATAGAAACGTTGTCGTCATAGGATTTGCAATAATTACGGGGATCGATTGTATTCTCTGCAGTCTAGAAAGAGAGTCCAGGAAGGTATGTTGCCTTCCTGGTGTCAGGATAAGAGATATTTCAAAGCTGGTGGAAAGGAACTTGGAAAGGAAGGGGACATAACCAGTGATCGTTATCCACACGGGAACCAATGACATAGGAAAGAGAAAGAATTCTGCTTAAGGAGCATCAAGAGCTAGGGGTTAAATTAATAACAGGACCTCGAAAGTGGTAATCTCTGAATGGGTAAACGAGCCACGTACTATTTGGAAAAGATAAACAGATCAGGGTTGAATGTGTGGTTTGAGGAGCAGGAGCCCCATTTCGTGGGACACTGGCACCATTACTGGGACAGCAGTGAGCTGTACTGTTGGGATGGGTTCTCCCTGAATTGGGCTGTGACCAAGGTTCCAGAGGAAAGGATAAATAGGATTGTTGAAAAAGCTTTGTATCGGTAAAGGTGTGGCTGGGGGGTGGAAATGCTTCCAAAAAAAAAACCAAGGAGAGGATGAGAGCAACGGTCAGGATACAAATAGTGATAACGGCATAAATACTACGGAATGAAACAAGCTAATAGGACGTCATCAAAAAAATGTTTAACACGTCAAACAATGTGAGAATAACATTGTCAGGGCGAACAAGCATTTTGAAAATAGTTACCTAAATAAGAGTTTACACAAATTCACGTACCATAAGAAATCAAATAAGTGAGTTAGAAGCACAACTTCAGCTTGAAAATCATGGCATAATATTCATTAGAGACCTGTTTAGAGGCTGGGTAGCACTGGAAGCTAAATATACCAGGCTTTTTGGTCTTTGGAAATGACTGGGACACTTGGAAAGAAGAGATTACAGCAGTGAAAATGAAAGATTTCAGTCAGAACGTTCAGCGCATGGAAACACTGTGGTAGGATTAAGCTACAGCAAATGAGTTAAAACCTTGTCGGGATAAGTATACAGACATTCATTGGGTTGTGATGTAATTGGGAAATGTATACATACAGAGATCAAGGAAGCATATAGCAATGTGGTTATAATGGTAATCTTAATTTTCACATGGACTGAGAGATGCAGCTCACCTAAACTCATAAAGATAACATATGTCCAGAATGTATTGGACAATTTTTTGAATTTTTTTTTTTTAAGATCCAACAATGCAACAAGCCATTGGATTTTGCGACTGGTAATGCGTCTGAACTAACCAATAATAATAATAATCCTTACATTTGATATAATGCTTTTAACGTCTTCTCCACGTCTCAAAGAGCTTCACACAAAAGGCTAAAGTGAATTGACCGTATATTTGTGGGCGAAACGCGGCACCCAGCTGCGCACAGCAGAGTCCCACAAACAGTCGTGGATTCAAAATGACCCATTTATTATTGGTTTATTTTGGAGGGATTATTATCAGGTGTGTGGAGTAAGGAAACTTGCTCAAGGTTTGGCCTGCCTGGAATTGAACCCAGGTCTCTCGTTGCAAGGCGAGTGCTCTGACCAATGAATTATAGAACTCCATGTAGCACAACACAACAACAACAAGATTCAATTTATAGAGCGCCTTTCATGTCGGGAGGACGTCCCAAGGTGCTGTACAGTTGAGTCAGGACCCGAGCATTGGGGGGAAATGGTCAGGGTGAGGGGAGGGAAGGGAGGGAGTGAGGAGGGGGTAGAGAGTCGAGAAGGGAGCTGAAGGTACGGTCAAAGAGAAAGGTCTTGAGACCGGCCTTGTAGGAGGAAAGGGAGGAAGGAACGCGAAGGCATTGGGGATAGAGTTTCAGAGCCTCGGGGCTGAGAGGCTGAAGGTCCGGCCACCAATGTTAGGGTGGTTGGGGCGGGGGATGTGGCGCAGACCGGAGCCAGAGGAACGGAGGGTACGGGCAGGTAGGTCGGGGGATAGTAGGTCGGAGACGTAGGAGGGGGCAAGGTCGTGAATGGCTTTGTAGGTGAGGAAGAGGATCTTCAATTCGATCCTCTGGGGGATGGGGAGCCAGTGGAGGCGAGCGAGGGTGGGAGTGATGTGGTCCCGAAGTCTGGTGCGGGACAGTACACGAGCTGCAGAGTTCTGAATGACCTGCAGTGTAGAGGGAGGGCCGGGAAGGCCGCGAGGAGAGAGTACCCATAGTCCAGCCTTGAGGTGATAAAGGCGTGGACCAGAATTTCAGCCGCGTGAGGGGTGAGGTAGTGCCATA